TCACGATGGAGCGTTGCAAACCTGGAGAGGGCAGGTGTGATTCCGCGTCTGCCGGCGTGGGCTGGGCTGGCCTTGTCTTGGTTCCGAAGAACCGGTGCACTCTGAAGGCCGTGGACTGTGTCCTGTCTGCAGCTTTGGCAGTTCCGTTTGACACCTTAGCCAGTGCGAAACCACTTGATAGAGCACTGGACACTGCTCCGGGTGCTGTTGGCGATCATGAACGTTATGATAACAGAACGGACACTGCTGCCACTTCATGGTCTGAGCCGCATAGCTCCGACATATGGAAACGGCGGCAGGGTGGAGCCTTGCCCAGTCCCGAGGGTGTGCCTGTCTAAAGTGGGACTTCACCTTGGTGCGGTCTGGCGCCCAAAAGTTGCAGACAAGGCAGCGATGATTAAGCAGCGCCGCGTCCGTTTGGCCCACTCTGTGACCCACTTGATGTCGGGGCAGACCAAGCAACGCCGTCCTAAGCGCAGCTAGTTGTTCCGTTTCGGGGGAGGTGCTCTGGGCATCAGCTTCCGTGAGTTGCTGCAACACTTCGGGCTTGGGGCAGGCTCCTGACAGCAAGTGATCTCGCAGGCCTTTCCACTGTTTGAAAAAGTAGTGAAATGCAGCGCACTTCGGAAGACCGTCTACGGCGTGTCTTGGTCTGTCAAATTGAGTTGGAATGAACCTGGGCACAGATTGCGGGTGCTGCTTGGTCTTGTGCATGTGCGCTCCATGAGCAGACTCAAAGGCAGCGCCGCAAATGTCACAAGCATGCACCTGCGCTGGGTCCTGATCTGGCTGGGGGAGCTTCTCTATGACCTCGATTTTCTCTCTGAGGCATTGAAGTACACTAATGCTGGTGGTGATGTCTGGGCGACTGTGGGGTTTAACCTCTAGTTTCTTGAGGAGCTTTCGGAGCCTTGCCAAAACCAGGTCTACAGGATCCGTAATATGATGCAGCGCAAAGTCGCAAAGAGATCCCTCGTGGTGACGCGGCTGATATGAGCCGGCTGGTTCAAGACAGAGCGAACTTTGTGAGCGTGCCAGCTGCGCAGTGCTCGCGCCGATTCCTGTGCAAGACCCGCGTCGGACAAACCCGTCTGTAGTGTGCTCAAAACAGTTGATCCCCAAACCTTCAACCTGGCCTTGGTGCCGGCAACACGGCGGTTGTAGACAAACTTGCGCACGAGGTGGAGTTTCTGTTTTGCTTCGTTGATCCTGCGCTGCAAGGTCTGCATTTCGAAGTGACCGTACGAGATGATGACCCCAAGATACTTGGTTGAAGCAACCCACTAAAGCTGGACAGCCCTTATTCGGACCAAGGCGCCAGCCCTTGACCTTGCTACCCTTGGCATCGATCACCCAGCAGGAATGTTTGCTGATGATGGAGGCTGCTTCGCGTCCTACCAACTTGACTAGAATGACGCACTTGGACTTGTTCACGACCTGGCTGTGCCTTCTGACCTCATCCAGGAGACGATGAGGCTATGTATAGCCGTGAGGTCTGTGACCGAGCCGATTGAGCGGATCGTGCGATGCAGCGTCAAGTCGTCCGCATAGCCCGTCAGGATCTCAGAGAGTGCCGCAAAGAGTCGACCCGTCAGGAAAGAGAAGAGTGTAGGAGCCAGCTTACAGCCTTGCTTGATGCCTGCCATAGTTTCAACCCACGCTGATTCCCCCTGGGCCTGCAGCCTGCAAGTCCGGAGGCGCTCCTTGTCGAGCAAGGTTGTCGATGATGTCTTGTCTTGGTACCGTATCGAAAGCTTGACTCAAATCCAGGGCGAAGGTGACGCCTCCTGCCAAGCCGGGCGGCTGAACTCCTTGGTGACGCTCATGTCGGCTAGGGCGTGCCTGACATATGAGCTGGCGGGCCTCTCGCCAGCGCAAGTGATGGACCACCCGATCCAACGCATCGGACAGATCGCGGCCAGGCAGGCAGGTATGCAAACTGAGGGAGATGAGCCAAACTGCTGGATATGCATGGTGCAAGAGCTGTCCGCGTGGCTCCTGCCAAGCCCTTTGCGTCCGGCCTGAGAATGCCCAGGGGTCGTATTGTTTCAACGTCTTGAGCTCCTCGGCTGGGGACAGCAAGTGCCCCGTTTCGCTGAGCTGAGCACGGCGGGCAGGCTGCCATGGTCGGAGGAGCTGCAAGGTTTTGCAAGCCACGTGCTGATCCCCTTCAGCTAAGCCAGGTCAACTTCCGAGAGGAACTGTCGTACGGCCCTGCTTGACGGCATTGTTGTAGAGATCCTGTAACTGCGAGGCATCCAGTCACTCTAGTTGGAGCCGGCTGTGCCGTGGGAAAAGATGGCGACTGTGCCGTGGATTCCAAAATGGTAGGCAAAATGCGAGAGGGGCTCGGAGCTGCTCCAGACTCCTGAGTGCCAGAATCCGCCATCTTTGAGCGCCAATGTCTACGCATCACCGCCTCGCAGTTTTTGGATAGAAGGGCTGCACCGCCTGCTTCGGCAAGAGGAGTCCCATGCGACAGGGTCCGTGCAGTCGCTGATCCTCTGGCTCACCCATTGCCGCATGGCTTGTGAGGTGGCATCCGCCGAACGCACCGAGGCTTGTAAGGCTGCATTGTCATGTTGAACATGAGTAGAACCACGTTTGGTCTCATGGCGGGGATGGTAGCCGCAATAGGTAAATGGCCGCCTTTGTTCCAGCTTCCCAAATAGAAGTTTGCAATCGGAGAGGCTCGCTTCGCCTGTGACCCCGAACAGGGCTCTCTAGTAAACACAAAGTCAATCTGAGTACGAGAATCACCCTGAACAAAGGTATACGGTGAGCTGCAGTGCCATGTGTTGAGTGCAACCAAGTGCAATCTGCGAACCAGATTGGTCAAATTGGCCGCATCGCGTCGTTTGTCCTCCGGCTGTGCCGTTTGCAGGCCTACAAGCGACTGTGTCGTGGTAAGGGAGTTGTTGAAGTCGCCTGCCACAATAGGCGTGTCTCGCTTTTAGGCACCTGCTGAACGGCCTTGGTTATAGCAGAAAGGACGGCTGCCCTGTCACCACGATTATCCTGCTGCGTCTTGAAAGAGGACCAAACGTGCCGGTACACAGACACGAAAGTGATGCGTGCTCCTGCCAGATATGCTCTGGGCTCCAGGACCCTGCCTGTGATCCATTCTTTCCATCGAATTTGGGTCTTGTTGATCCTTGGCGAGAAAAGAACCATGAGCCCGTCGGAATTGGTTACTGAAGGATCCTGGCTCTGAGCAGAAGAGCCTGATGGCTTTTTGCTGTCTGTACTGGGTTTCCGTGGGTTTGCTGTCCTCTTGCTTGCCGACGAAATGCAATACCATCCAGACACAGTAAATTCGGCTGACTCCTGCCAATGGGTTTCCTGGAAGATCAGAACATCACACAACTTGTCTGCTTCCAATTGCAACCATGTTTTGATTTCTGCCCATTGCTGCTGTCCCAAATGACCAGCATTCCATGACATGACCCGGACCGGCCTGCTTTGCTGTCCTGCTCGTCTCGTCCTTGGCGGGGGGCGACGACTGGTCTCGCTGTCCTGCTGGCGGACAATTTCCCGTGCGGCGAAGAAGTTGTGGGGTGAGAGCCTGCCCACGGTGCGACACAGGAGAGTGTTGCTGTATAACTCTTCTGCATGCTCTCTTGAATGGATTCTCGCGCAAAGTCGGAAAATTCTGCGAGTGTACTGGAACCAACGCCATCCGCTATTTTTGCTACCGAAGTAGCTCTCTCCACTGCGCGGTAAGTGGAAACCCTACCGCCTCCCTTGTAATGCGATGTCGTAGACAAAGACAGGGGCCAGGAATTGGGACCTGGCAGACCAGACGTTCGGCAAACGAGGAGGCACATAGCTCAGAGGGCCACAACGTCTTACGCAGCCCGTGGGGCCTGGTTAGAGCCTCTAGGAAGAAGGTTGCGCCCACAGCCCGTTCGAAAGCCTCTAACTGCGCATCCGTCTGGTCCGTGGCGGCTGAAGGTTCACAAAGCAACAAGCGGATCAATCGGGGCGTAAGGGGAAAGAAAACTAACCAATGCCACCAATCCCTCTCCTATGACTCCCATCCGAGCAGACTTGGATACATGCTTCGTTTGTATTGGCTTCGGGGCTAGGGACACAGGAGCTTAAGCATTAGGCCAATAACCTAGTCTACTTCGACAAGAGCCCCAATTGGAACGAAGCCGTAAGGTGTCTCGGATGCGAAATACGATCGAAATTGGGGAAAATCGAAAAGATGGATTCGGGAAGCATGGCCCGAGTAACCAAAGAAAGACGATGCATGAATGCCAGCCCAATCTCCTAAACCCTTGAAGTACCGAAGCACCTGGAGCCCCCCTGAAACTAGCTCACGGTGGAAACCACGTCTGTGAAATCTCCCAGGATGCAATCCAACATCTTTCGGAGGGCGAAGAGGTCCGCAAAGTCTGGAAGCGAGCTTGGCCAAGCATCCCACCTCATGCGCTTTGCCAGGGTGTGCCGGGCGCCGGGAGCTATCGAGAAGTGTCGGACCCCGCAGACGCTGACGCCACGGGACCTCCACCTTCGCGGCAGCCTGGGCTGCAGTACATGCGGTCATCCCGCATGTACACCGGCCCCCCGGAGATGATCCGGGCCATGCAGGCGTGGCATCGCCACGCTGCAGGGCCGGTCTCAGCCGTGCTCCGCTTGGATTCGTGGTAGCAACCAGTGTAGGCTTTGCTGAGGTGCATTGGTCATGACGACGACCATCAAAATCAAATTACAATCAGAACCACGCCCACAAAAATGACCAGCAACCACACCGCAACCACAACCACCACAACCTCCAACACCATAGCCACCACAACCTGAACCCCGGCCCAGGGACAACCACTACCACGACCACATTCACTGTAACGACGACGAGGACGACGTCGATCAACGACAACCACCACGACAACAGCATCACCAACGTACGACACCAGCACCGCCTCCACCACTGACAACTGTATCAGCAGAGAACATCAAAACAAACAAGCCTCACGGAAATGAAGTCACAAGCCCTTTTAACCCGGTGCTTGCCACGAAAGATCACGGGGCTCAGTTGGATCAGGCGTCCCGTTAGGCCCCAAGGTGCCGGAGAATGTCCGGCAGTTGATCTGGAGCACGTCGTAGTACTCCTCGCTTCAGGCTTGAAGCATGGGAAATCGCTTCGCTTGAAAATCTGAACGTGAAGAGGTCCCCGAGCACCAGGCCGTTGACTTTCTGTGCTTGGAAGATGCGAATATGGATGGATTGGCAGATAAGCTTGCAAGCCCTCCGCCCTCACACTGATGATGCATTTGCAGCATTAGCAGGGCTGCTGCAACCTCAACTATCAACCCACCATGCAACTCTTTCGTTGACAGATCGCTTCATGACGAACTTGTTTTAAGCGGAAAATCATTCTGTGATGCATCTTCTGAAGACGAGACCCAACTTGGACCTTCCTTGAGCCTCCCAGTTGCAAGATCTGCTTGACGAAGTCCCTTCTGAAACTGTCTATGCTTAAGTCGGTTAAGTCCCATTACTATGCGCAGTGTAAGTGATATGAAGCAGTCTTCTCCCTCCTTCTCTTCAGAATTTCCTCAAGTTTGGGAGCTGAGAGTATGAGTCCTCTGATCTACAGCCCAGGACCCAGCAACCCGGAAAAGCAGGACCAAACTTCCCCAGATCTCTCACGGCCGATGCTCCTCCGTTTCGAAGCTATCCACCCGTATGGGCTTGGCTGCAGAAGGGTCCTTTGCAGAGGTTTTCGCAGTGTTCTTGTGTTTGAAGGGCTGTTGCATTTCCGAGTTTTCACGGGCTTGCGCCACGGATGGGTTTGACGGATTTACGGGACTAGGGCGATTAAGGCTTTTTGAAGACACTCAGGCTAGATCCAGACACTTGCAACTCACGACCCGTGTTTCATCGAACCATTGAAAAATCCATGCGAATCCCACGAGATCGTACAGTCAAAGGCCGAGAAGCCACCGCAATTTTGCAGGATTGGGCATTGCCATAGGCACCAGGATACCCAGGACCTGAATCTCTGGGCTTCGTGGCGGCTGAGTGGTTAGGTTCGTGTGGAGGGTACTTCGTCATAGCTTGCTTGGACCTGATACCACACCGTCGAGTGATCTGGTCGAAAAGCCATTGCTCCGAAACCATGCATGCTTGGTGAACTGTCGAAAGAATTCCCTGTTTGTCTTGAATGACTACGGAGAGAAGGATTGACGATTACAAAAAGACTTGAGCTTTTCGCCCCAAGCCTACAATAAAACCGCTCACTGTTGTGCTGTGCACACCCTCACTGATGTTGCCCTCAAATCTCAAGCTACGAAGTGCTGGCTCTTCGAAGCCTCCCCATATCCAAAGACACAAAGTCCAAGTCCCCTTCCCTTGAGCCCATGAGGCTTGTGAGGCATTTCTCCGCATCTACACGGCATGGGCCGCTGACCACCTCGAGGCAGGTGGTATTCGCCATCATTGCTGTAAAGGTAGAAGGCTTCCACTCTGACGCTGGGCTCTCAGAACAAGACACTGGCAAAGTGACAATGTTATAGTAAAGTCAGTGCCCCGCCGCCCCCCCCCAACGCAGGATTGTCTAGGAACACAGGTCTGTTTCACATTGCATTCCGTAGAAGCATCCCCACCTGTGGCTTAGTTACTCAATGCTTTCAGGATCCCGTCTCTGAGGAAAGCTGAGCAAGCCGCGGACCACATGGCCCCCTGGAAATTGATGTGCGAGATATCTGGGTCCTGCTTGCTTTGGGATTTAAGGATTGTGATCGCTGCACTACTCTTGGGTTTGTTGGTTGGCCAGCTTGCGTGGGAGAAAGACACTCAGAATCCGCGGCCAGCTACTGGGGATTTGCACATGTGCGCCATTTGTTTCGCGCTTCAGCGAATTCAGCGGCTCAAGGCTTGAGGCTGAGTTCTTGGCCTAGGCAGACTTAGTGCCAGTTCCTCGTCGTCCACGTAAGCCTTCTCCACTTTGTCGGACATGACCTTCGCTTCTACGGGTTGGGAGTGGAAGTCCGTTTGGGAGCTGAGGGCATCCACGGTGATGTGGTCATAGCACTGGCGGTCGGTTAAGCAATACGCATCTCATTTATGTATATCCCTATCTATAGCCGCCAAACCTTCCAGGACCACCAAAAGGGGCTCAAGGCTTCCCCCGAAACCCCAAAGCCCCATCGGATCTCACGATGCCAAGAAGTGATCATGCCCGAGCATTTGCAGGCATATTCTCGAAGGTCTACTGCATTCCGCCCCAACTGACCGGTTGAGGCCTTGACCCTGAACTCTTGGACCTGGGGCCATCTTGTGAGAACCTTCGGGTCGGATTTTGTGACTCCAAAACCTCAGCCCAGCAGCATCCCGGATCCAGGACATGACACTGTGCACGCGGCCGTAGACCTCAAAGAGCTAAGACGTGAAAGCGCTTCGGTGAAACAGAACTCTTTACTCCGTGCGGCTTGGAGTTTGGGCCTTTTGCCTTTGGACTTCGGGTTCAGGCTTGAGGTTTAGAGTTTAGAGGCCTGTAGAACCGTGAAGCCTCAACGGCCCTCAATGGCTAACGCGCGGCCCACGACCCCTCGACACTCCCTAAAGCCGGCCGCAGATCCCCAAGCATCCCCTCGTTCCCTACCAGCCCGTCCACACAAGACGCAGCTGCAAGCAGGAATCGCAGCTAGGGCACACCGGGAAAGTTGGGATACGCGCAGCCCTGACCCCAGGACGTGACCTCAGCAAAGCAGACTGTTGAAAGTTGACGGCTGCGTGCTTGCGGAAAGACAGCCGCATAGGCATGAACATTGTAGGAAGCTGCCATGTTACGACAACGACGATTACAGCAGCAACAGCAGCAGCAGCAGCAGCGGCGGCGGCCATAACCAACACAACCCAACCGCCGCTGCCAACAGACATGACTTGACCAGAACAGAACACATCAATCAGTCCACCAGCAGGGCCAAAAACGACCAGCGACAAGAAGGAACAAACTTTATGAAACCCGAACATGGAGAATTCGTGAATGCAATGACATGCCTGCAGAGAATGAGCCCAGGCGCTCCCCGGAGCACAAAGCGGCCTTCCTCTTCGCACACCAGAGGTCCTGGCCACTCGCCCAAGCTTCGTGCGTTGTCGATGCTTCAATTTCGCCGTACGAGTCGGAGTTGAGAAGCAATCTTTGATGACTCTGGGTCTGGTGCTTGGCGAAACCCTCCTCCCAACAACATATCTTTGGGAAGCCACTTCTTCCCACATCAGGATTACCACATGCCTAGAGTTTTCCCTCCGGCCTCACGCCTGTTGCCACGAAAGAGCGGAACACCAAAATCCTTTTAGACTCAGTGGCTTCCTGCCCTAAGCTTATGTTCAGGATGCACACTGGCCCAAAAATTGCGATGAAGCATCACCCGCAGCTTCCTCGCAGGAAACATGATTGAGGAGGCCACCCAACCCCAGCAACTGCAAAACCCCTGGGCGATGAGTCAACGTTCCTGCCGCGGCTTCATCACTTGAGATGCGATGCGGTAGAAGTTTGGCCCCGTTCCGCGGCTCAACACTTACACACCAAGCATGCAGACACTCACTTTTCAATGGACCGAACACACGATCCACCACCCCAGGCCTGCTGCAGCTGCAGCTGACCATGGGGGGGGGTCACAGACCCTAGAAACACACAACCCTCAGTCGGCCACATGGTGCCACAGTGTGCCTTCACCGGGCAAATTGATATCAAGGGCGGGCGGGTGGGCTTTCGAACACAGTGGGCCCAGTTCTGCTGCAACCATGCAGCTCCGCAACACGACTGGAGCTGACACGAGATCACAAGCTGCACACCGCACTGAGATGCATGCTGTGGGTGTGTGAAGTGTTCGGTGCATGCACGGTGCGCGCAGGCATTCCAACACTTACACACCAAGCATGCAGACACTCACTTTTCAATGGACCGCACACACGATCCACCACCCCAGGCCTGCTGCAGCTGCAGCTGACCATGGGGGGGAGTCACACACCCGACTGCAAGGTGAGCGGTCCATTGCAGTTGAGGCGACACAAATACAGCAAACAACTACCCAACCGAAGGGTGGAGGCTCAGCTGCTGGACCAGGGGGCAGACAGAAGCCCAGAGATGTCTACACAACGCTCTAGCGCAGGAGAAACTCCTGGAAGCCCATCGCGGCTCAAGGCATCTGACCAGCAGTTGCGAACCCCAGCTATCTTGGAACAGGAGAGCCGAACGCCTAGTTTAACCGACCAAAACCCTACCGCCTGCAGGATCCAGCAAAGGGGCTCCTTCATGCTCAGCATCTTGGAGCTGGCCGAAACAACACCTGCGTTGTCACAAAGCTGCGGCAGGAGCAAGATAAAATACTCGCCACGCGGAAGTGCAAGCTCACGGCAACGAAGAACCAAAAGCATCAGCTGCGCGAGAGCCTCCAAGGATGCTATGATGGACTGCAGCGGCTCGCTCTGTGCTGGCCGCAGCCAGGACGGAAGAGTGTCTCTCGTAACCGCAAGCCTAAACCACCTTATGTTCCGCACAGCGCAAAGCAAGCCTGAAAGAAGGAACCAACCCCCTAAACCGGCAATTTTTCCCTTGGCAAATGCATCGGCGGCACAAAGACAAGGCGGGGCCTCTTTGATGCATAATGGAATGCGAACCTCCTCCGCGACAGCATTGTGAAAGAGACGCGCGGCGAAGGAAGAGCTGGCGCAAGTACGCGTCGAAGCGCAGGAGTAGTTGAAGAACACCACAGAGATCATGCCATGCCAGAGCGCACCCTCGGGCAGGTGATGGCCCGGTCCCGCAACTCTTTCACCTCGCAGTTGTTGACGGAGTGCAGTCGCCATTGAGGACGCACATCACAGGACTTGGCGGGGCAAACCACATGAAGAGAAGGAGACAGGCAGCGAAGCAGCTCCCCGAACAGGCACACGGACAACGACCTTGTCACAACTGCAGGCTTGCACAACAACCTGTAGAGTTCGTGCAGCCAAGGACGCAGCCACGAGGCAGCTGCTGTGAACCAGAGCAGGAGGCCAATCACACGTTTTACTTCCCGCCTTGGCATCCTGGTGCCAGCTTTGAGCAAGGGACAGAGCAAGCCCAGGATTTTGCTCTGTTTGTCCCGGGGCAGGCATGCACTGCGAACACTCAGTCTCATCAGCCAATCCAAGAGAGGTCCTCGCCTAACTGAAGCTTTTCCCAACCCCAACTCAGTGGAATACCTATGGACACTAGGAACATTACGCACAACGCTGACAGAAGGGGAGCGGCCTCGAGCGGGAAAAGAGACAACCCATCGTCAACATACAGCAGAGGCCGTGCCGGACCCACAGCAGTCGAGGGGTCTGCCGCACCACAAAGACACCCACCCGACTAAACCAGTAAGCGGCCCAAGAACAACCGAAATAGCAACTACGGGACACAAACCACCCGCCCTTCACAACAAAGCACGACAAGCCTTGTTCGGACTCCCGCACCCGTACCAGCTTGCGTGCCCCACGGACATCAAATGAGAACACAGCCCAACGCTGTCCCACTGCAGAGGAGTTGAGGAATCGCTGAATACTCTCCAGGGTCGGGAGCCTAACCTTTTCGAGGATCCTACACGCGGGGTTGGCACCTGAAACAGTACCGTCTCCGGTAAGGCGTGGCTTCTTGCCAGGAGGGTGTGATATCCCAAGTTTCCCAGCTGCAACGTTGTTGCCCCAACGCTGCCTTGCGGCTGCTTCTCCACCTGGCAACTCAAAAGCAAAGCCTGCCTCCACATCCTTCATCATCAAGGACAATGTCAGCTCTTCATCATCCAAACCGCTCTGCCACGGGGAAGTGTGAATAGACAGATCCGAAAGATCTTCATCAGGCGGAGCAGGATCAGACAGAGGCTGCCACGCGCCTGAGGCCTCAATCGGCTCGAGCACACCGGTCGGAACACCGCTGCGCAGCAGCCCGGGCAAGCAACCATCCGGGTCACCAGTTGGGCGACACAGACCCTCCCAGCAATCTAGCAAAAAATGGCTGAAAGGGCTCAACATGTACGGAACCAGGTAGGGACTTGCTGCGCAGGAAGGCCGCAAGTTCCGATTTCAAAGTGGCAGACTCACTGTCGGCGAACCTGGGGTCAGAGGATCCATCTCGGCAGTGCTTGATTAGGCGCTGCACAACATTCCACTCGAGACACAGAGTCTTGAATTTCTCACGCAGTGCACCCAGCGAGTCCGAATCCTCGCGGGGGACGGACCAATCATGATTCACTGCACTGGGCACGCTGGGACTACATGCAGGGGCAGAAACGCTGCGCAGGGGAAAGCACGAGGGACCAGCCACAGCTGAAGCAGCAGGGATAGTATTCAAAGGACTGGCTGCTGCAGAGCTTACCGAAGTATTCGAACCCAAGGAGGTGTCAACACATAAAAACGTGGAACCGACACTGGCACCAGGTGTATAGTTATCAGGCAGACGCGGATCGCACTCAGGTAGCGGTTCAGGGTCGCACAACACGGCCGCATTGACCGCAGGTGCACCGATCAAGTGGCTACCATGGTCACCGCGAGAGCCTGGAGCAACTCAGGCTTTGCAATCCGCAGCCCCGTGGTCGGGGGCCCCACACTTATCACAGCAGTGCCAGAACCTGCAATCCTTGGCAGATTTTGGACACGAACCCTCCTGGAAGCCCCAGCAATTGCCTTTCTTGTAGCGCTTGCGAGGGTCGGGGGCCTCCTTACCGCCTTTGGTGCGCTTGCCGCCGGTGCCCGACGGGCGCGGGCCGGATGGCAGTGAGGGCGGAGGCGGCACCTTTAGCGGCTTCGGCTGCGGCATGAGCTTCACACGCAACAGGCCTTCACGGACCACAGATTGTAACGCATCGTCGATGGAGACGTTGTCATGGAAGACCATGCGGAAAATCTCTCCAAGCACTTCTTTACCAGCTTCTTCTGCCTCTGCGGGCGAAGGGGGATGCAAACCAAGCCCGGGCCGGCGAGTATAGTGGATCATGAATTTGTTGACGTACGACATCCATGAGTGCAGATGCCCGGCCTCTGACATCGCATATGCGTGTGCACGTACGGTCAAAAGCGTTTGCACTTTGTAAGGGGAGGCGGAGAGATCAAGGTCCCACTCGTCGCTGCATAAGCTTGCTGCCTCCGCGACGATTTCGGCCATGTCGCGCTTGCGTGTCGCTCTGCGGGATTGGACATCCAAGGCCGCCTCTTCAGGCAGGATGCGCTTCCATGGTATCCAAGTCCAAGCTTTGGACTTGCACTGGGACTGCACACACTGGAGCAGGCCCAGAGAAGGCAGGGTGCTAGAACACAAAAGCAAGTCCTGGGAACCGCTTCTCGAAATCCTTCACCAGTCTTTCACGATCTCCAGCATCCAAGCGCTGGGAAGATGGCGGCAGAGCAGACTCCCCGAACAGGGCCAGGGCGCTGCACGGAGGTTTGGACGCAACTGCGGTCGGCAAACACGGGCCACACCGACTCCACAAGCGACGGAGCTTGCCCGCCATGGGGTGAGTGCTCCAGTCCTCATCGTCAACATCAGCGACAGCTTCACCGAGCTTGGGCCGAGCTTTACCCAGCCAGGACTCCAGTGCAGCAGCGTCCACAAAACTGCTGTGGAAGGTCTCTGGCGAATCGTACCCCATGATATGCAAGGACTTCGCGATCACATCTGGTAGGCCCACTTCCTTGTAAATGGGCAGCAACGGCACTGGCATAGCCATGGTGTTGACAGGCACAGAGAAGAAAGCGCAGCAACAATGAACCAACGAATCTGCAGACAAAGCTCGCGATCTCGCACAATTGCAGCCCGAGCACATGTCACGACGGACACAAGCGACATCATGCACACGCACGATAGACTCCCATCAAACCGGGAGAATTTCGTGCACACGGCACAACTGCGGACGACACGCGTGTCGGACATCCATCAATCCGGATGTACTAAACTTCGTGGGACTTAAAGATGAGTATTAAGCCCGCCTGAAAAGCACATGCCGGAATAAACATAATAAAGAGAGGAATTTTGCCCGCCTGAAAAAAGAAAAAACACAGTGAGCCCAGTTCTGCTGCAACAATGCAGCTCCGCAACACGACTGGAGCTGACACGAGCTCAGCTAGACACCGCACTGAGATGCATGCTGTGGGTGTGTGAAGTGTTCGGTGCATGCACGGTGCGTGCAGGCATTCCAAGTCTGCTTGTACGTCTGCGGCTGTCAGAACTCCGGTTCGTGTTTGAAGGCTCAACCCCACAACCAGAAAAACCAGAAGAATCATCTGCCCGAGGCTAAGACCAAGCCCAAGCTTAATTGAATACAAACCCCGCCTAAAACTTCAACCGACGAAAAGCCTACACGCAGAGGGCCGAAAGACTGGCCCTTTCCGCGGGCGCCTCCGCTGTCGCCTTGGCATGTGTCTGTGACACCACCGTCGGCGTGGCCAGACGCGCAGAGCATGGACCTGCCGCGGGGCTTGAACGGGATGAGGCCCGAATCGGCGGGGGGATCTACTCTCCACTCTACTCTCCACTGCATGGACCACTGCATGGGGCCCCCGGGGCCCTCGCCCGGTGATGACGTCCTGCTCGAGGGCCAGAGGAGCAGAGCTGTTTTGGGGGGGCTGATTCAGAAGGGGAAGTCACAGAGAGTGGTATATGTCAATCTAGTCTCCTTGTTAGCTGCAAGGAAGTTGAGGGTGTCGCCAAAGCTACCCTCGAACCCTGCAGCATGAAATCAACAAAAACCCTCTTCTGCCATCTCATGAATTACGCACAGCCCTGGTTGACGAGCATGAGGCTTGAAATGCCGTGAACACGGAGGCACCAAACGAGTTCCAGAATGTTCCGATTTGACACTGTGGTTTAGGCTAAGCTTTGAACTGGATGGCAGCTTCGGGGTTTCTTCTGCTGGGCTCGCACCATCAAAGGTGGTCTCTGCAAAAAAACGGACGAGTCCTTCGTCTTGGAATAGTTTGTCTCGCACTCCTTGCCTCGCTCGACGGCGCTACAGACTCCGGAATGCGCAATGCTTTCCAGAACTTGCAGTTTCGAAGCCCCTGCAGACCAAGCTTCCGGAACACACATGCAATAGTTCTTGAAGCCATGCAGGTAGTTGACACTATTGTCTCCCTTGCATGCTCGCGATTGCGCCAAGGCCTACTTCTGCACACAGAAAGTAACACTGGTCAAGCAGTGCGTTGCGAACCTCCGAACAAGCTTTCCGAAGCCCCAAACCTGAAACCTTGAACCCGCGTTCCCTGCGCCTGTCTTCGAGTACTACTTGTAGGAACCTGGGACCTTCTCCTGAGGATCAAGGTACTGCTGAGGAGAGAGACCGGCGCCTCCTGTCAAAGGGTTGGCGACAACAAGTGTTGGGTTTACTTGTGGTAGGAGGTTCCACGGGGGCGCAACCGGTAGCAACTTGTCGACAATCCTCCTTGGTATCGGGTTTTCCTCGCGATGTGGAAGATTGCACCAAAACCAAATCCCTCTCATTGAGAAAGCTTGATCCGAAAAGAGCTTTTTTTCCGTCCTGCAGCACGTCTGGGGTGGGTCCGGAGCTGCGAATGGTGCCCCAGCCCGTGATGAGACCTGAAACTCAGAGTGTGACTTGCAGCTGCGAACATGGAAGCCTAGGGCAGAGAGAGAGAAACCTTACAGCCCTCTTAGCCGTTGTTGCAGTGCTACGGACTCTGGGTAACACATGCTACGGCCCTGAAGCCTCTTGAAATCGGCTGGAAGCCACATCGTTGGGACAAATGCTCACGGAGGAATCAAGGTGCCAAGCTGGGAGTCGTAACGATTAACAGCTCGAGCCCCGAGTGCCAGAATTTCTTGGTACTTCGCAGTCTCATTCGCAGTTTCGGTCGTGAAACCCTGTGTGGCAGCAAAGTGGCTTCTTCGACGAAGCGGCAGCTTTCTGTGTGTCGGCCGTGCGGGAACTTCCGGGCTTCTGTTGCGGACAGATCGTAGCTAAAGGCGTAAGGCGAAGGGTGTAGAAGCTTCAATGTGTTAACATGGCAGTCGAGCCACACTCCGTGCCCCCCCTGCCCTCGGCCGTGGGCAAGCAGGCCGTCCCAATGCACTCATTCAGCGGAACCGCCTTTTCAGGGAAAGCGGACAAAGAGCAACAGTGAACGACAATCCTCCGTGGTAATGCTAAAGCTTAGAATTGTGAGAAAGATGAATACTGGATCAGAACCTCACAAAGACATAAAAAATTCAACAACACCGACGGAGCAAGAACGCGGAAGCGCATACGGACCCCAACCAGACGCCTTGTCAAGGTGCAGCAACGCGAAGTCGTAGTCGTTCGCGACATTATGTTCGTACCTTGGTTCGGGGTTGATGCAGTTGAGCTAAGCTTCAAAAGCGGACTGATTTGCTCATGGCTCAGGAAGCTGAGGGCGAAGGACGGATCAGGACTGCAATAGAGGAGGGACGACCATGTAACATGGACAGTTGAAATCCATGCCAACAAGCGAAAACGAATGGTGAATGCTCGGGTCGCACACGGCTCAAAGAGCTCAGAGACCTAGCATCGCAAGAAAGCAGTCACATGTTCAACCGCGACATAACGATCCACCAGTGGGTGGCACGGGCAGTTCAAGCAAAATCGTCGCTGCCGGCATCGCTGACACCGCGACCAACTTTGCTTCGTGACGAGCTGAACCAATGGACGCGGTGTGGAGCCCCACCGCCACTGCACTGGGGATGGGTTTTCCAACCCTCTGGGACCGCATTGCAGTCCCAGGAAGAAGGCGCAAATTAAAGAATGTTACCAACATTCCTACGAATTACAAAGCCACGCACGCACGCACACAGGCACACACACACACACACACCGCAGCCAAGCTGTACAGTAGTACCCAACATGCGGCATGCTAGGTGGGAAGAAAAGAAGAGGTTGCATTCTACATCAGCCTACCCCTGTCTGCTTCCGGACCCCGCAGACAAGCAGCATCGGATGCCGGAAGATCTTTTTCACAAAACGCTCGACGCCCATGCCAGCATCCACCTCCACCTGCCGCACGCTGTAGGAATCAACAGGTTCCAGCCCTCTCGTAGGGTTTCAGGTGTGCCCTACGTCCTGAGGCGCTACAAAGCACTCTGGATCTGGGGTTCCAAGAGTCCCGGCTTGTCGTCGGCAAACAGTTTAAACAGCAAAAGATGCAGAAAATCGGGCGAACTTCAAAGCCTCGGCCATGACCATCATGTGCCGTCAAAGTGGCCATGGTGGTTGTGACGATGGCGATGATGATGATGGTGATGATGATGATGACGATGATGACGATGATGACGATTATAGTGATGATGGTGATCATGATGATGAGGATGATGGTGATTATAATGATGATGATCATGAGGATGATCATGATGATGATGACGAGGAGGATGATGATAATGATGATGAGGACGAGGATGAACATGATGATGACGATGACCATGGCGATGATGATCATGATGCTCATGATGATCATGACGATCATGATGATCATGATGTTCATGATGGTCATGATGCTGATGATGATGCTGATGACGATGATGATGATGATGAAGCGGAGGAGGAGTGCGAGCCGACACTCAGCACCAGTTCTCGGTCCATGTTCTTTCTGCTCTTAGCCTGGACATTGCCGCCGTCCCCGGTAGAAACAAAAATCCCGTCTGTGGAACTTGCTTGTCATGTCCGTACGACAGGCTGTGCGGGCGCTCATCGGGTGACTCTTCTGTTGGGCAAAGCTTCTCGGACTCGGATACTTCGAATCCAAGGCATGTCAACCATCAAAACCACTGCACTACGATCCACACTCGAACACTCACTTTCTCACGCTCTCACATGGTGTACACTTTCGACGCTCATACGGTGCTGGAAAATGAAGTCCTGAAGCTGAAACCTCACAAGCCGAAAAGTAGTAGCTCTAAAAGCCCTCACAGTCCGATTCATCAGGCAATTAATTGCATCAATTGTGGAGACATCGATGCGCGGAACTCAGAAGGGGCCCCGCCCCCACAACCCCAACCCGCCTGGAAATCACGCTTCCAAGTGCCGGCTCCTATCTTCAAAGTACGCACTTTGCAGGCCTCAGGGGTGCGAAAGCCAAAGACTGTCCCAGAAGCTTCCATGCGACTTTCGAATCGAAGTGGCATGGTTTCAGGCTCGCGGCTTTAATGGTTAGCGTGCGGGGTCTCTAAATTTCTGCTGCTACTGCGTTTCACTACCGCTACTCAACAAAGGTTCTGAACTTCGTCTATCAAAGGGCTCCAAAGGCGTGGGTATATGGGGTACAGGTAGAAGCTCTCTATTGCGGACACCTTTTGTAGCATATTCCCTCTATTTTCCACCTTCTGTCATCCCACCTTCTAACTCCGCCGAAGCTTTGCAAAGCCTTGGGAATTTTCTTCGACTGGGCCGCAAGCATCAGCCTGCATCACACCAACTTCGCAGAGTGATGTTAGCAGAAAATTTATTCCTGGTGTGCCGTGTTGCATTCACTATCACGCGCAACGCGCAGAGTTCAAAAAAGAAGTCTGCCGAAGCAGTTCTGGAAGCCATGTTGCCGACACACCTCCTGGTTCCAAGCTCACGTGTCCGGCACTCATGGCAGCGGTTGGTCGCCAGGAGGGTTGTTCTCGGCTCATCCGACTCGTCAAAGCGAAAAGCCGTCTCACGGCACGCCTTCGACAGCTTGAAGGACACCAAGCGTTTCATGTAAAGACTGTCGTCGGCCCTGCTGTTGCAGAAGCACAACTTTGTAATCCACCGCGATGTTGGCCTTCACTAAGAGAGGCAGTTCTTCTGTCATGAAGACTGTAATTGGCGATGCGTTCGACAAGCAAACAAAGACTTTTGTCGAGGTTATGTGCAGAGTATGTTCACAAAACAGCTTGAAAATGCAACCCACAGTGGACGAAGTGCTTGCCACACATCAGGTTGCGCGTCGTCCAATAGTTGCAAGCTATCATGTACATGTCCCAGCGGGCTCTGTCCCATCGTGAAGGCGTGCTGTTGGGCAGCGACCTTTGCATCCTCTCCGCGCCACAACACAGCTGGGCGGCGATCCAACTCACAACGCACCTGATTGTGGCAAAGCTTGGCCACCTCACATGCGATGCTTTCAAAGACCAGCTCTGCTGCAATGGATTTCTGCTTGATTGATAGAGCCAGTCCGCGGAGCAATGGCTGCCAAAGTCGTTTAGACGTCTTCGCGCCAATGCCCAGTTGTCGTTACGTGAAAATCACGAAACTGCCCCGCCTCAGTGACTGCGATCAGCTCAAAACCCATTCTGGCAATGTTCTCATGCGCTATTCAGCCAAGATACTCAACCTTTGCTGCACCCTTCTTGTGCTAGGCACTTGGGAGAATCCAACATCCTCACGGCTTTGGCTGTGCAAGCCCATAGCTCAGCTGCTGTGACGCAATGGCGCCACCACAGCTGTGTGTGACTGCTGTCCGTTTGGCACCAAGTTGCGCACATCTAAAACTTACCCAATTCGCCAGGTGTGCACATTGATCTGGCTCGGTTGACTGGCACCCCTCTCGTCGGGGTGTGTGCAATCGAACTCTTGAGGCGCATGTCCGTCTGGTCGGCCGCCATCCGTGCGGCAAATGGATGACCACACATTGCTGAGCCGTAGCCTCGAGCTTTGGCTCAGTACTTGCAGGTGCTTTTCTTGAGTATGAAATAAAGGACCGAGCAATGAACTTTGAACGGCATAAATGCCAACCCTATGTTGGCATGCCAGCTGGGCTGGATTATTTCCGCGTGTTACCGCAACAGCAGGCTTACGTCCACTGGCCGAAGAAAAATGAGAGTGCCAGACCTTTCCAAGAATAGACCATGCATCCCCAAAGCACTGCATGACCATGGGCTGTTGGAGCGCACATATTCATTGTCTATTGGCGGCTGGACATGTTTTTTCTTCGTTTGCCTGATTATTCTCCTGGGTGCACATAGGCAGCGAAACACGCCTGTTTTTGCAATCGGGTTTTGGCTGGTTAATCTGCAAGCAGTACCAAAGGAACATAGAAACCTGGGAATGCTATTGCATTCCCCAGGTGACGACTCCAATTTGCACAAGGTTCTCACTCGCTCGTGATGCCCTTCCAAGCCCAGCCCCTCGACGACTAAGTCAAGCACCACTTTGTAGTCCTGGGCCCCGTCATGGTTCACTTGACCTGCTTCTGAAAGGACTTCTGCGCCGCATTCTTCACTGACACCTCAGGGCGGCCTAAGCTGTCCAAGGTGATCGATGAGCACCGGAAGTCCCATCCACCAGGTCCAGCAGGAATTGCTCCCGATCATGCCCGTAGCAACATTCCACACAGAGGGCCCGACCCGAGGGAAGCGTGTGAGCGACCTTTGATCCAGCCACGACTGCATCCCCAAGGCTCGTTCCATCTAAGGACCCCGCGGCCAACCAACACAATGTATCTGGATCGTACACTGCTTGGCCAGCCGGGAGCCTCCACGACAGCCACTGGAGCCGCAGCCCCCGCAGCACCACGGCAGCTGGGCCCGCTGGGGCAGCCGGCCGGACTCCATCCAACCCACGTCTTGTCCGCTCAGCTGCAACCTCATCCGCCCGTCTCTTACAATACGCGAGTATTCTGCTGCAGACATAAACGCAAAGAAGTGGGCTGGAACTCCCCCGGCACTCTGCCGTCGGGGCAATGCCAGAGGTAAGCAAAGTCTCCATTGCGGGTATGGAGCTCCTCCATATACACATCCCTATATCCCTGTCCGGTGTGCGAATCATCCATGCATCACCCTCGATGTGTCCCAACAGCAGTCGTGTGTGAACGATGCCCAGATCCCCAATGTATCTGACATAAGCAAGTTCTCCTTCTTTAAAGTTCATGGTCCGACTGGGTCTTATTGCTCCGGGATTTGCAGCCCTTTTGGAAGACCGTACAGGCATTTGCCGGGCTTGCCCTTGACAGCAACGGTCACCTCCCGAGCCCCAGCCTCGTTTCGCCGAGTGGTGACCCGGAAGACCAATCCAAGGTTGGCAAAGAGGAAGCCCCGCGATGACTACGAAGAGGAACCAAGGGCCGAGTCTAGCAGCTTGAACCGTGTCTTCCGATGAGCAAACGCACTGACACTGGCAAAGACGGGTCTCGCTGACCTCACGGCTGCCCAAACTTTGCAACCAAATGCCCCCTGCCAATCGAATCAGACCCAGCGCTCCGTGTGCCACGCCCATGCCCCGACTACACTGAGATCCTTAAGCACTTGAGCAGGATAAGTTAAAGGTGCGGCCTCACGTTTTCGAACCTGTGCTTCTCAAGACTGTTCAAGAACTGTTATGCAATGCCAGATTTTTAAATCTCCTGCCACGCATGGTGTGAGCTCAGCGAAATACAGTTCTTATTACTACTATAGTTACGGTTTCCCACAATGCAACGCGTCCGCTACTTCCACCAGCCGACACGACACAGGCATACACAGGGACTAGTATTATTATCATTATTATGGGTATTCTTCGTAATATCATTGTGATTATGACTGCTGTAGTTAAGACATAAGCTTTAAGAACAGAACAAAGCCTTGACTTGCAATTGTATGGACCCCACAATATTGTCAGACCAAGATCTGCTCAAACCAAACCACGGTAAACCCTGCAACCAACCTAGGCGAGCCGAGTAGTGCCACCAGAGTATCTTGGGGGCATGATTAAGTGCATTATTACGCAAATGACTGGGTATACGATTCAATACGGTATTGGGTAAAATGGGTATAGTGGGTGCAATGGGTTTGTTGGGTGTGTCGGATATAGTGGGTCCATGCCTTTGTCGGCTTTTTTGTCATTGATGTTCTTAGAAAAAATTGGAATACGCAACACAAGTGATAGTGAGCCGGCCCTCCCTTGTTCTGCATCTCCTGACGCCAAATTATTGGCCTTTGGCCTGCTGCACTTAAGTAATGCATGTGGCTTTGGTGACCTTTGTTTCGTCACTTCGGCAGCTCTTGCGTGCTTTCTCGTTGGCCTGACACACGCCAAGCAGCACTGCGGATGTCAGAGATGCAGTGAGCCGCTGTCAACCTGCACTCCAGGTGAACACGGGCCCGGGTCCATGGGTTATGTCTGCTATTGTGTGCTTGATTAAAGTAGAAGCCCAAAAGTTGGAAACCCAATAGCCTCAATCCTTAAGGGTAATGTAGAGGGAATCCCAGCACTGTTTGTCCTTAATCCGGTTTCCAACTTTTTGGGGTTCACTATACTATACGTGCGTGACAGGGTTTAGGGCTGTTTATGGTTCCCTGTTGGCACAAGCTGCAGGGTGCTGGGTCTCGGGCTTGAAGCGCAGGATCAGGACTTAGTGTACTGCGTTGAGAGGTAGAGCCTACGGCGAAAGCCAGTACTTTGGCCTAAGATAAGCATAGATCTCGATGTCGAACCAAAGCTGGTAGACTCAAACGCAAAGCTGAAACCCCCCAAGCCCTCGAAGTCAAAGGCTCCTCCCCATTCCTGGTCATGTGAAAGACTCACGCAGTCAAGCATTCTACGACCAGAAACCCCAAAGCATCTCAACAATTCACGTCGCCAAGCCTGCCATCGGAGTCCTGGCAAATTCATTTATTATACCACAAACCGTCAATCCTGGGATCCCGAGATCCACTTGTCGCAACTCTCTCAAACTCCAACCTCGGAACCCGAAGTCCATCTTGGCAAGCCGAGGATCACCCAACGCGGCGCGATCAGCGTTCCGCCACAGAACTGGCCCATGCTGGCATCGCCAATGCTCACCTGGAGGGAGCCCCAAAACCATAGCTTCGTTTGGCCCTGACCTATTCGGTTTCAGAGCGCATGGCTTCAGATTTACGGTTTCATCTCCCCTGATTTCGGAGGTATGATGCTATGCACAACACTTTGGGGTGATTCGCCGAGCTTCATTTTCGGACATGGGACGGACATCCGCTCAAGCTGACAGCACCTGCACCCAAGGCCAGAAGCCTGGCTTTAGCATCCTGTAGCGTACTGACAGTCAGAGCCAAGCCCCACAATAACAAGCACACGCCATGCCTGCCACCTCCAGACACACTGCCCTGCGTCGCGGCCGTGTACCTCGGCTGCAGGGCCCATCATAACGAGAGCCTCGCATCAGTAGGCTTCTTCGAAATCAACGTGGGCTGAAGGTCTAGGCTCGAGTCTGCAACTGGTCTTTCAGGCTCTTCGGACCTCTTGGGCTCGCAGTCATCGGAGTACCCTACCTCCCTAAACCTCGCATACCTGCAGCACGGGGGCGATCTTGGTCGCTGCATGAGGGACATCGCGGGCTTTTCCTACACTCCCAGGCACGCCACACTTCCTCGCCAGGATGCCACTTGGAGCTTCACGGGCACAGGAACACACATCTAGTCTGCATGCTTCAGTCCTAACCAGGGGAAGCATGGTTCCGGCACCACCCCCAGCCTAGACAGATCCAACAACGCACCCTCAACCCTCAAGCCTGCAGTACGAGCGACCGCGACAAGGGATTCAGTGCAATGCTGCCACTTCCTAGATGTTCAATGTTCGAGTTCGGCGTGCTTGAGGTTATCCTCCACATTAAGCCGTCAACCCCCGAGCCCTGTGTCCACTGCAAGCTACCATCAAGAAAACTGCAGCACACCCTACAAGAGCATCTAAGCCCCTCCCCTGCCACTACATTCCCAAGAAACCTCAAGCTCTCAAGTCTACAGAATCTGAACCATGTCCTTCAAGCACTTCACAGCACATTAGTCACAAGAGTACCAACAACTTAATGAAGTGGCGACAAATGTGCTTGTATTTTGGAAAACCCCAGTCACTCAAGCGATTGCCAAACTCTAAAACCTACACACCCTAAATCCGAAACCTGCCGAAACATACTCCTGAAACCCTGAACCAACAGCCCCAAAAGCCGGGGCTCTCAAAGTCTGGCTCCGGCTTCTGGGACCCGCGCAAGCCCTTGTGGGAGTGGAAGGGCGAGGGTGTAAGGTTGGATTTGGGATTTGGCTCACGGAAAACCCTCGGCCGTCAAGGCCTGAACGGCCTTAACGGCTTTACGAAGGCGGATCGCGCAGTTCATACGTCCAAAGACCCCGAAGAGACCCCGCAGTGCCTCAGTGCAATGGCCATGCGAGGAAGAGGCAGAGGCTTCGCCAAGGAGCCAAGACGACACGGAGTTGCAAGGAATTGTTCTTCGAGGCGATCTCCCAGCTCGGGGTTCACTCGAACATCACTTTGCAGGCCCTCCGAGGCTGTGCAGCAACGTGGCAGCTGACTTTGCAAGTCGCGAGTCTGAGATTCACTTACAGCCTGGCAAAGTTTTCATTGGAGGGGCGGGTTGGAAGAGGAAGAAGGCAGACTGCTTTCTACAGAGCTGCGGGATAGCCCCGTGGGAACACATGCTGCATCCAGACTGGCCAGGCTTGCTGCAGGTCATTCTGCCTCGGGTGCGGGATAAGGCGATCGGTGCTGGAGATGACGACTGCATTGCTTTCTTCGGTGAGTCTCGCATTGATAAGCTTTGTGCCCGACTCTGCGGTGGCAGATCTCGGGGCTGCAATGACGGAGGATGTGCACTGGAAGCGGCAGCTTCGCCCGTGAACGTTGTGCGATGAATGCGACATCGAGTCACTGGGCCGACGAGGGTGAAGATCTGGCTTTGGGTCCAACTTTGCTGTAGCGCTTGATGCTGGCAACAGCCAGCTGCTGTCGTGGAGCCATGGGAAAACCGGACAGCCTTTGAAAAACTGCATTGAGGATTGCGGCTTTTTCCAGAGTCTTCAATGATTTTGGGTGGGCTTCTGCCTCGACGATGGTGAAGTGCGCAAGGCGGTCAGTGACGATTAGTGCATACTGACCTTACAGACTAGACTTGTTTCACACAGAATTCATGTGCCAGATACGCCTGGGACTTGTTGTGAGGTTTTTTGCCAGGGGGTCGGGGGGAGGGTCCGGGACTCTCTGCGTTCAGCTCGGGCCTTTCGGAGCGTCGACTCGGGGTTTCGGAAAAGTAGATGTCTGCAAAGACTCAGCACTCTGTTTTCGTTATGCAAGCATGACCTTGCATCGATCTTACTCCTTTCATAGCAGTGGATCAAGACATAGCAGAGCCAGCTCACACATGCGACTCATGCCTAATGCCATATGCCCATACCCCGCATTGCACCCATGAGAAAGGGCATGTTTGAGGTGCACCATGCTCGGCGGGGCCTTGGGGCCTTGACCACGAAGGATGGCCAGTTTGTGGGGAAAAGATTCGCGCACATGTGTGCGAGAAGCTCGCATCAACAGAGACACTGAACTTTCAGAGAACAGTTCAGGCACCCTGCGCCTGCCAATCCTACTCATTTGTGTCAAGCTGCTCCTCCTATACTTCAGAACAGGAAGCCCAAAAAGCTGTGCACCAGCGGCCATCTGTAAGCTTGTAAGCTTCGCTCGCTTTAAATGCAAGCTCCGTATCAAAACAATGCGTGTGTAAAGCTCTCTCTCTGCCTGCCTTCGGATATGATTCCCCGCGCCCTTTCACGGAAGGGACACTGTCATGCTGAGGTATGCACCAGTTAATGCCTCTTCTAGTGAACCATGGATCCGTGCCTTTGCTGCTTCGTCGGCCGCTCGCACCAGCCAGATCAGGGCCACAAGCCGCGCAAGGGGCACCATTGAAAAGGAACGCGGGGCAAAGCAAGATTGTCGTACAGTGGGAAAGGCCTGCAAGGAGTTCGGTAGATCCCGGTCGGGGTGTTTGATGTACTCCCCCTTCCTGTATACTCTATGACGTCTCGGAACTCACGGTACTTGAGATATCGCGTGTATCATGGACCATTCGATGATTGACTTTGCCCCTGTGCGATCGGACGCGGCATGTCCCGACTGGGGAATCAGAGGACAGAGCTACAGCCTAACGCAGATGCCGGGGCCGATCAAATCATCTTTGACTCAGACCCTTGCCATAGGGAATTTCCTGATGATCACCCGGCAGGATCTGATCGACTTGAAATGCATTATTTCAGGCCCGGTGGCTTGACCTCAAGATAGTGCTGAGTTATACTGGCGCTTACTAGCGACGCAGGCAGCTTCGTCGACCCCTAAGATAATGATGCAAACAGTGCCAAATGCATATCTCGAATACTTGACCCCGTGACGGCTAAGGGGAACCCAGACGTCCAGCCCTCAAAGGCCACGGAGACCTGAGCGCCACAAGCCCAAGTGGCCGAAGGCGGGTGCTGACCTGCATCGTCCCCGAGGAAGCTGAAGAGGCCCGGCTGCTTCGCAGCCTGCTTGCGGGCCGAGGCCAATGGAGCTCTAGGATTTCCAGGAACTGGGTTCAACGATACTTCAAGGCGCGCTGGGCGGCCTCAACTTGGATGAGCGCGAGCAGCTTTAACGGAGGAAGACTTCAGAGAGTGTGCCTCCGAACGGCCCCCCGTCACGGCCTGCGTCTGGGGCTCTTGCACACCTGAGGAGCGCGTAAACGTCAAGGCTTCGGGCCGGACTCTTGGCAAGGGCTTCCCGTTGATAGCTGAGGAGGTCAGAGCCACAACATCCCCAACAACCAGGATGCATTCCGATGCACTGTTCACCTTCACTCCGCTGCTTAGTACCGACAGAAGGTCCTCTCCCCGCCTCCGCAGAACTCCCGGCAGTTTTCAGGCCCGGGCCTCGCGAGCTTAAGGTTTTGCAGCTGTCGGCTTTTTAGCTTGCATTCTCAAGAAGCCCCGCTTCAACGTCTGTTGGCAGATGCTGACTCTCGAGAGTTCAAGTACTTTCAAAGCCTCGCAAGGATACAAGCCGCGGAGGCATGCGTAACAGCTTCCGAGTTTCCGATTTTGGAGGTCTCCACTCTGAGGCATTACTCGAGCTCTCTGCTTAGAAGCGCGGAAAGGGTTGGAGGTTGAATTTTTGGAAATTTCTCTTCTGGTGTTCATTGGGGCTCCTTTCCAGGGATCCCAGGCGTGACTAAGCGAGCCTGTTGGCCATTGTTGGGCCTCGATCACAAGCTGAGCCCTTAGTTTGCGGCTGGATTGTTCTAGCAGCTGGTTTAGGGCCTACAGCTACCATCCTGCATACGTCTCGCCCTGAGACCTCCATCCATGAGTCACTCAGCATCCTACAGGCTTGGGAAACAGATCGGCCCACACCCCATGAATCTGCAATGCAGAGCAGGGCACCCCAGCCTGAACCGGCTTGGAGGTGCTGCTACTGGCTCAAACAACGGCGGCTGCCAACCACCTTTCGAAGAGCTCGGGAACTTGGGAATTTGGAGATTGTGGCTCAGCTTCTATCGATTCTACAGGAACTTATTCGAGGGGTCGGCTTTCGTCACCTCGGGGGAAGCGGTGAAAGTGCCGCAACATCCAGGTCGTGGGTCCTAGGTGCCAATCAGATTCCATCGACGCTTGGGATTTATATATACTGAAGATATTTCTGTTCTGGAGATTTCGTGGTTCAAAGCTTTAGGGAGATTGGACCAGAAGGCCAGTCGGGAACCTGCGGCTGCGCAAGCATCAGAATAAGGCTTTGACATTCACCATCGTTCACCCCTGTCTTTTCTCTCCGGCACGCCAGCGAAACCTCTGGCGCAGTTGTCGCGACCTCTCCCGCCCGAAGGAGCCGCAGCAAAGACTGTGCTCGCCGTGCTCCCTCAAAACAGACCATTGCCAACATCAGAATTCGACAACCACATTGCGACGACTAGTTCGATTGCTCCGGAAAAATGGTAGTACGACAAGCATCCTACCAAAACAAACGCTCCAAACACGAACAACCAAACTTGATTCCTTCATTCGGTGCGGTTGCTGCAATGATTGCTGAAGGGGTCTTGCGAGTCTTATTGTTGCCGCTATCTTTGATTTTGATCACATGTATCGGTAGCGTGCAACACCAATCCTCATTTGTGTCTACTTGTTGCCATCCCGACAGCGGAATACACTTTGTAAATCTAAAGACCCTGCCGTATGGTAGCAGCTGTTGCGGGCGCCCTGCAGGACTACGGAGAAAGCGAAACTGGATGATGCAGGATTCATGGGTTTCAGTTGTCCGGACCGTCGCCGACAGCAAGCAAGAATCGAAGCTTTCAGCATCCTGATTAGCCTTGAGGCGCTAGTGGGATTCTGGCAGAACCCTACAGTTTTCAGCAGCTTCTTCCTGAAACCCAGCCCCAGCAGGCTCTTCGTCGACGGCCGCTGCGTTTGGCAGCTTGCCAATTATAGTTGTCCAAAGATTGCAACTGGGGCGACACAGAGTGGCAATGACGATGAGACTGACGATGATGATGATAGCTAGTAGATTTGACAATCGAATAATAATCCTGAGCCGAATCTGGCACAATTCGTCCTCCTACTGGAAACCGTACAAGGCTTCAGCAGAAGGAGCTTCGCGATTTAAACGTCGCACTAAAGTCTTCGGACAGGAGCTAACACAACATCTGCACAGAAGCTAGAACAGCACAGGCGTGCAGCGAAAGGCGGACTGCTTCGCAGTTGCCACCTATCGCTGCTCAGCTAAAGCTAAATGTCGGGCTCGGGGTTTTGGGCAGGGCTCTGATGGCTCAAAGATGGGCACAGAACTTCGTGCTCACGTCTGGGATCCAGAGTGATCCAAAGCTTGGGCTTCATAGCTTCCGCATGGACAATGGAGCTCGTCGACCTGGATAGCCTCAAAACCTGAGCCCTTAAAGATCAACCGCTATCAGTGGCGGCATGTGTGGCGCCGGTGCAGCAGGCACCTCCGATGGGCATTTACGAAATTGTAGAGGTTCAAGTTGTCGATAGCGCTTGTGTCAGCCCTCCGGCAAGTCTCTTGAAACGCATAATCACTGAAGCTGCGCAATACCTTCGCACCATGGCGGCCTGGCACACTCCCTCGGTGTATCCCAAATGCCTTCGACCTTCTGAAGCCTTGCTTCGTGTCCTGAGGCCTAAGCCCGAATCCACTGTCCGGCCCTCAAAGGAGACTGGGTGAACAACACCACTGATGCCTATACATCCATCCACATGCCTGTGAACCGCTCGCATCCTCTCTTAGGTCCTTCAATTCAAAGCTCCCCCGGCTCTCCCCCTGCAGCGTGCCGGAGCCACGCTGCAGAAAGGCGGCAGTGTCTTCGGGTCCTGCTTTGAACGGTAGTTGATGGTTCGTTTCTGAAAAGATGCCCTCATCAAGCTACGTATGAAGAATCACTCCATGCGATTTTATGATGGTATCACAGGCTAACCTCTACCGTCGCCAAAGCAATCTTGTTCGAGTAGGCTTCCTTACATCACAACCCTGTGCCATAGCCAGGTGAGTGTGCAGCGGGAGCAGAAGCTTTGCTGTCGCCAAGCAGGAGTCCTTCCAAGGAGGCTTGCCCTGCAGCTTCGTGTTTGTGAACCTTGTCAGCAGCGATTGTGCTCCTCCCGACTTAGGGAAATAGGATGGCGAGAGAACGTGCTACCTGTCCCGAGTCTGAATCCTCGGGTACCTTACACACGGAAACAATTCTGCGGCTGTGTCTTGATGCACGAGAGCACCCAATTCGTCAGTGTTAGTCAGTCACTACGATAAAAGCCCTCTGTTGGAGGGCCGCTGGCTCTTTATTTTCTCTCCTCCGTCTTCCTTGAAACATGAGCCCCAAAAAATGAGCCGTATTCCTTCTGCCCCTATGACCCGGCATCGTGAGAGGTGCCCGAGACGTGATCTGCAGGCTTTGTTGAGTGGATCGGGCGTCGGATGTTGCTGGACTTCTCGCTGGGCGAAGCGGGGAAGCTTCTGAATAAACTTCGCTGCAGACAACCATGTAAGCCGACACTGAATTCTTGGCTTCAGCAGCTGTGCAGCTTACATTCGAGGACATACAGCTAACATCGCCGAAGGCGGCATGTTCCCACATCGTCGCCCAGGTACCGTCCCAAGCCCATCAGTGGGAATCGGCGCTGGGGAAGCGCTGCCCTGAAGAGCGGCTACGGGCACATGGCTTGGATGTGGCAGAGCCTAACATGTCAGGAGTCTCCGCCGCGGATCCCTGGGCCTTGCCTGGAGGCGTCCCACTCGTTGAGGTGTGGCTCGAGCAGCGGGATGAACGGAGCGATCTCGCCTCGCTTCGTTTGTGAATTTCGGGGGAGCAGGGATTGGAGAATGCTGTAATGGGGTTGAAGGCCAAGCCCCATGAACCCCCCCACAGGTGGCGCTCACAGCTTTCTCCGAGCGACGAGGGCTTCGGATCTTCATGTTTGGCGCCTGTGCAGAGAAGTTCTCGAATAGGGTATTTAGGGTTCTCGCATAATTAATGGCTTGTGGTTACTGGTTCGGTCTGAGACAGATCGTCGCAGCTAGTTGGCATAAAAGGCAGCTTGAAAACTGCACTCCGGGTAAGCCCCCAGAGAAGAGTGCTTTGTATTTCAAGACTACGTTCATAGTCCAGGTCTCAGTAGCTGTGCCCAGTCGATGGATCCCACCTTTCCGACCTCAGCAGCGGACCTTACCTAGACCGCCATCGAATCACGCCAAGGACCAAGGGCACCTCGAGAGGCTTCCGCGAGGGCCCCCGTCGCAGTGGCAGTCGGAAGCGCTTTGCGACCTGCGGTCGGAGCTCGTCAGCTTTGTGAATTCCCGTTTTAGGCTTTCGTAGGAGCCTAGCACGTGAATTTCAATGAAGTCATCATAAGTCATCGTAACATCAGGGGTTATTTTCGTTCAAGTCCTGAACTCCGGAGAGATTCCACAAACGTCTGCGACTGCATGACCCTTCCCGGCCCTCCCTTTGCCCCTCACACAGCCAATGCCCGCACCGCGCGCAGCTCATCTTTGAAGCTGGCAGCATCGAAGCGCCAGTTTGTGCGCTGGCGCGGCAGGGCCTCAGAAACCAGCACCCCTGCAAGGCATCCACGGTTGCCAGCTGGCTTCAAACATCTTTATCCTGAGCCGCTAGCTATTCTGGAAAACCGCAAGCGCTTCAGTGCTGCTAAGTCAGGCCTCCACCGAGCCGAGAGGCATTCGCATCTGCCCAGGCACCCGGGACCTGCCGCGACCTGGGCGGCGTGGCTTTGAAAGGCTGCTGATGACTGCGTTCGTATTGGATCTCGAAGCTCGGACACTTCCAAACATGCGTTCATCCAGTCTCGTATGCTCAATGCACATGCAATGCAGCTGATGCAATCAATGCCTTGGTCTGACACATTAAATTTACAGTTCTACCTGCATGTGTCAATCAAGTGTCAGTTCAAAACAAAAGGCTCTATCACCATGACCATCACCGCCGCCACGACCGAACACCCCCCATTCCTCTTGATCAAGGAACTAACTAACCCCAGCAAGACCCGACAAGGTCTAAAGCCTTAACTGGATCGGACACGTCACTTCCTGAGATTCTGCCGCCACTGCACTCGAGCGGTCTCGCGTGCTGTGCTGATCTCCTCGCAGGCTTTTTCAGTAAGCAGACAGCTTCGAAGCCTCCATGTGGTGAACTGGTCCGGTCCTCCAACAAATCCTTCAGGGAAGGGAGCTCTTCCGCATCAGCCTTGGGTCAAAACGAAAATCTCAAGGCACGATTTCAACAGATGCCGTTATTGAAGACTTTGGTTTTGCACTTGCCTTGCAGTTCGTGTTCTGTTATGCTTCCGCTGTTCATATTGTTTGATTGTAACTATTTCCCTTTTGGCATTTCTGTGAAATGCATTGCTCTCTGCGCTGTCCTTTCTGAGTCAACACGGTAAACCTTGTCCTGTCCGTATGGAACCATCGCAAGAGCACGAGATCTAGAGATCCCTTAAGAGTAGCACGCGAAGATAGCCAGTCTTCGTCTCTGGGAGCCCGACCATGGCACTCGAGACAGCGAAGCTGAAATGGCAGCGAATCGAACCGATCCGTTCATGCAATGTTTGTCTTTGAGCGACGTCTTGCCGCACATCCCGGCAAGCATCCATTAAGGGCTGAAGACAACATGAGCAAACCTCAAATGTTAAGCTCCTTGAACGCACTGAACCCCTAGGCCCTATATCTTGGACTCTGATGTTCAACAGCCTCAGAACTTAAACTCCCTGACCCGGAAAGCTCTTGCTCGAAAGCAGGAACTTGCGAAACGAATCAGAACCCAAAATCTTCCAAAGCTGAATTGTAAACCCTAGGCCTCTAGGCCCTGGGCCCATGCCCACCTTCCGACACTGGCGGCGGGGAAGGAGAGCCTTTACGGTCAACAATGTCTTTGGGCTCCATGCTTCAGGGTTTCCAAGCGTTGGGGTTAGGGCAGGATGCAGGGTTGAAACTTGGAGATTCGTTGTAAGGGGTAGGCAGAGGGCATCAAATTAAAGGATTGAGCACTCAAGTTCTGGCTTGCTCTGCTTCTGCAGCTCGGCCTGTAGAATTCATGAACTCAGAACTGGGGGGAAACTTGTTTCAAGCGAAGGTTGTCGTATGCGTTTTCTGCCTTTAACTGTTCTTTCGCCTGTTGACTCGGGGCTTTGGCTCATTGGGCGCGAAGCCTTCTGGATGTCTTGTTTCGGGGTTTCGTTGGGGCCTGTGCTTCCAATGTAGTTTGACATTCGGCCAGACGCAGATAAGGCCCCGGAGCGGCAGGCGGTTGTGATCAGCCGAGTTTGAGCATAATTGTGATAAACGAGCCCGTCCTGACGTGTCTAACTCTGAACTGGCAAACTTCACGGTGACACAAGCCCCGAACCCAAGGAATGGGCGAATGCCATCTTCAGAGGCATGAGCTTCACTTATTCATTATCGGGCATAGGTTCAGGATGTGAGGTCTGGAAGTCGTGGAGTTTGGAAGCCACCTTAACCAAAACGGGAATGCTTTGGCATGATCCGGCTCCCAACAATCTAAACCTCTTCCGCACAAGCTGGGATCCCGCACTCGTCGCACGATCGTCCTGTTTCAAAGAAACTTTGGCAATGCAAGGTCCGAGCATCGGGAGTAAAGATTCGACTACCTGGATGTGGATGAGATTCCAAATTTTGCAGATCCGAAGAGCTTGAAAAAAAAACTGCTCCCGCAGCCAACACGGCCGAACCTGGTGCTGCCATGTCATGCGGGCAGCCTGAGGCACTGGAAGGCTGCGCGGTCGAGAAAATCTAATTGAGTGTATGCGGCAATCGGGTTCGGAATCTGAGCTGCCTGAGCTACTTAAGGGATTTGAAAGCCCATGACGAAGGCAATAGCGGCACGAAGGAAAACTGAACGACTTGCCTTTATGGCGACCAAAGCATCCTCACAACGAGAGATGGGAGGCCCATGCTGGCTTTACGCAGCTGCTTGGCTTGGGATTCACACGTTGGAACTCTGTTTCTTAAGATTCCAGGACTCATTTCAGGGGCACATTGTTCAAGTTTTGGGTCTGACGGGGGGTCATTGCTTGCTCTAACCAAGAATTCTACTGTGCACCAAACACTGCTGGATGCAGATTCAAGCAAGCACGTGGGCGGTCCAACAAAAATTCTCTGACGTGGCTTCGCAAGCTCAAATGGAGATCCTGCTGCAATGGTTGTAAAGCTGATACCAAATTCTTTTCTACGTCGAAAATACAACGATCATATTGTGAATTCGGAACAGACGTGCATAAAAGCTCCGGCAAAGTCCATTCCAAAGCAACACTACTGATGTTTCACTTCCAGAAGTTTACTCAATGAGGTAGGATGAAAAGAAAACCAATGTAATGACTTTGCCGTCTTTCGTTTGATACATCTCCGTGGTTTTTTCGGCATAAGAAGTGCCGGAACGGTTTTGTATGTGAAACAGGAAGCACTCCATTGCTTGCTGTGCATTGTCTGGATGCAAGAAAAAGCAGGCGAAACCTAATTGAGTTTGGGTTGGAAAGGATATAGTAATGTAGACAGAGTGTTCTTGTCGGCAGAAGTTTGTAAACGTCACTTTAATTTATATTCCATAGATACATGGAACATTTACGGCCTGGGCGGGCAATGGCGGTGCAAACTGCGCAGGGGATCTTGAACAAGGGCATGCATGGCAGCTTCACATCAGGAAAACAACACAGCAACCCTGCTGCGCTGGCTTGGTGGGCGGGGGTGTGGGCTTTTGGGCATGTATTGGAAGGAGAGGGCGGACGGGTTTGGGCCAGGTTCGGTCAGCAGTGGCATCAAACCCAGGTTGGAAGGCAGCGGTGGGCCATCCATTGCGGCCTCTGGCGAAAACTACTAATCAAGGTTATCTTTGTGTGCAAATTTCGCATTCATATAGACTTTACATGATGTGTTTCGCAACCAAGAATAAGTACATTCTCCCAAAAAGATGATCGCTTTATTCTACTTTGCGAACGTTTTTCATGTCTGCAAAAATCACATCTTGTTTTTCAACGTTCAAAATTGAAACTTGATTCCTTGTTGCAACAGTCGGCTCTTGAACATGTGAACTATATTTCTCCCTCGCACGCCTCAAACGGGGGAGGGTGGGACGGCAACACAGTCTACTGTTAGTCTTTGGACCCACCCAACCCACCCTGTGAGTTCCTTTTCCCTTGAGCCTAACCCTGAGCCGTGAGTAAGGTCTGCCGAGATTCTGCATTGTATGATTGAAACTTTCATATACATGTTGTGTATTTGGAAGATTCTTGAATGAATACGATTCAAGATTATCTTTGGAAGACTGCTGAGCGTAAGTGAGCAACAATACATTCAGATACGCTGATGCATTGTCTGTTGAAGTTTGTTCCTTTGCTTTGCTAGCTGTTATACTACAAAATGCCAAGACTTGCGAGCACGGACGAAAACTCTCACAAAAGTGCACTACGCAAGTAGGATTCTGAATCCTTACCTAAGCTACACGGCATACGGAGTGATACGTACAACTTTGGCCAGACTGGAATGCTGCATCAGACGCTTTATTCATAACATCTCTCCGACAACATGATTGTTGCAGGATTGAACTGCACATCACATTTTTGTGTCAAACCCGACGCAACATCAGATTGATTCACGAGTCAGCGACGAGTGCAAGCACGAAGGGCTGACTGCTGGCCAGAATGCCTGTCGTTCAGGAAATGTGTTCCACCACGCAACAACAAAAGCTACGGCTTTCTAGTGTCTAAGCTAAGCGAGTAATGACGAAAAACAAGCAGGCTCGACAAAGAACGCTCTCTCGCTCAGCTTCTTGTTTCGGCTTGCCAGAAAGACGATTGCAGCTCAACACCTGGATTCGTCCTTGTTGCCCGGCGCCTGTGCAACCCCCTTGGGACTAGAACTATCGCTTCGCATACGTTTCTGCACAATGGTGAGTCAGTGCAACGCTTTGTATTGCCTTATGCTCCGTTGCCGCCATCTCGTGCGGGCCCATGGCTTTCCCTTGCGCACGGTTGGACTAAGTGTCTTGCCATCGACATACCGTCAAAGAGGCGACAGAGGGAGACCCCCACATTGCGGATTGACATGTCGGGCCGATTAGGATGGCTTCCCGTTCTGATCGCCATATCCAAGCGTGACACGGCTGGCCTGCTCTTTCTACAGAATTGGACTTTGGACTTTTCCGTGCATAGCCACGTGGTCAATCTAGTTGCCCGCCTTGCAACGCCTTAGCTCGTCTTTTTGTCTGTTGTTGGTTTTACTGTGCTTTGCTTAATTTCTAAATTCGCGACGGATCGAGAATGGTTGCTGCCGTCGACGAGGCCGACTACACTAAAAAGACGATTGAAGCTCAAAGCGAAGGACCCGTTCGGCTTTTGGTCGCGGGCTGTGGAGTCGTTTGCAAAAGGCCTGGAAACAAACTAGCAAGCCAATCTCAGAAAAGAAAGTGAAGTTGAAAGTATGCTGTGTTTATGTTCGCTGAAATAACTCCTAAAGGGTGGTAGGCCTTGCGCGGGAAACTTCCTTCGGAAGGAACCAGGCTGGTACGGGAAACGGCATATGGCGGGAAGCCGCAGGGAATTGGAAACAGCTGCGATTTGTTTCAGAGGCAGCTGCTAAATTTGTCGATTCTGCTTCCGTCAATGTGAAACGTGCTTTCCTATGCACTGGTGCTACCAATCACAGATTTTCCAAACAACTCAAGCGTCAAAAAGAACAGCTTACTAAAAATTATCGCTTCCGCTCGGACCAGCTGCAGCATCTAACAGACATGTTGCTTCTGCTTCCGTCACTGTGACATTTGCTTGCCCCGCGCACTGTCAAAAAATAACAGCTTTCTTGAAATATCGCTTCCGCTCGGACCAGCTGCGCGCATCTAACAGACATCTTGCTGCTGCTTCCGTCACTGTGGAAGTTGCTTGCCCCGTGCACTGGTCGTTGGCCACGAAAACAACTTGCTGGCATGCCAAATTTTTGAAAATACAAACTTCCTTGGCACAACTCAAACGTCAAAAAAACAGCTTACCAAAAAACATCGCTTTTGCTCGGACCAGCCGCATCTAACAGACATTTTCTGCTTCCACGTGACATTTGTTTGCCCCATGCACTGGTCATTGGGAACTAATACAACTCTGGCCCAGTTAAAAAATGTCAAATTTTTGAAAACATAAACTTCCTTGACACAACTGAAACGTCAAAAAACAGCTTACTAAAAACATCGCCGCATCTAACAGACATTTTTTACTTCTGTCACGTGACATTTTGTTGCTCCACTGGTCAGTGGGAACTACCACAACTTGTTGGCCCAAATGGAAAAGGCCAAATTTTTGACAACATGAACTTTTTTTGGCACAACTCAAACGTCAAAAAGGACAGCTTACTGAATTATCGCTTCCTCTCGGACCAGCTACAGTGTCAGCATTTTTTGCTTCCGTCACTGTGAAATTTGCTTGCTCCATGCACTGGTCATGGGCAACTAACACAGCTTGCTGGCTCATTAAAAAAGCCAAATTTGTGA